CAGCCATAAAAAAGAAGGAACTCTTACCTTTTGTGGCAGCCTGGATGGGCTTGGAGATTATTAAACTACGTGAAATAAGCCAGTCAGAGGAAAGCAAATACCATATGATCTCACTTACATGTGGAATCTAACAAAACAGGTCCAGAGGCATGGAACAGACTGACAACTGTCAGAGAGGAAGTGGGAGGAAGGGGACTGGATGAAAGAAGGTGAAAGGACAAAGAACTGTACTGGTCTCACGTTGTTTAATTTCCGTTACTGTATAAATTCTGAGAACAAAAATACCAATTATTTTTAATTGTACAGAACATGAATGAGAAAAGCACCAACTGAAAATATACAAACACCATGTGGAAATTTGCTTATTTTGCTAAGCCACAATTTATTTTTCCATGAATAACAACAATTTGAAGCTTCCTTGGTATAAAGGGGAAATTATTTCACAAAATTTAATTTTCTACATTAAGTCAGACATGATTTCAATTATGTATTCAAAAAATTTTAAGGAAGCATTTATAAAACATTTTCAGGGCATGCCACTATATTAAACCCTGAGAATATAGCTTGTTTTAACCCTTTTTCAACTCATCCTTCCTTTAAACCAGTGTTGTTCAAAACAAAGATAATGTGAGTCTCATATGTAATTTTAAGTTTTAGATCTTTTAGCAAAATAAAAAAAAAGCCAAAAAAGCTGAAAAGGCTGAATTTTACCATTTTATTTAACCACCAAAAATATTATAATTTCACCAACATACTAAATTGAGATATTTTATATTTTTTCTTTGTACATCTTCAAAACCTGGTATGCATCTTCTCAGACACATTTCAATTTGGACTACCCACATTTTAAGGCTTCCACACTCATGTAAAACTAAACTGTATGGGAAGACACTGGCTCGCACACCTTGCCACTGTCTGGCACATCTACCTGTAGACAAACATTGCAAACTCTGTATTCTATCATTACAGATTTGGATCAAGAAATACTATGAGCAGAATTTATACAGTAACAGAAATTAAACAATGTGAGACCAGTACTTTCTAATACTACATAAATGGCAACAAAAATGGCTGCCATTTGGAGTTCAACCCACCCACCCATGTACGCATGCTAACACAACTAACAGTGAGAGGAAAATTATTTTTCTTTGTAGCACTTACCAGTTACTAATTTTCTGTATGTGATCTTACTTTTACTGTATGGGCATCTGTTTCTCCTGATATTCTATGAGGGAAGGCGCTGCATCTGCCTTGCTTGCCATTGTATTCCTGGACCTTAGTAGAATGTGTTGTACACAGTAGATGGTCCAGTACCTGTTAAGTGAGTGAAGACTGCCATGTATTGGTTATCAACCTGAACCGGCTTATCATTTCATCACTCAGTTATCCAATAGTTAAGGTCTTGGACATGTTAATGCTTGGCATGTTCTCAGTGAAAGCAGTGAACAGCTGTTTTCTCTTCAGAACAATTTCTAGCAGCCTAACCCAATTATTAAAACGTAATTGGGAATTCCCCACTAATCAGGATCATGTTTTTCCTGTCTTCATGCAATTCTACTGCTCAACACACAACAAAAACAGAATGGTTGAGGCACAAATGAGTAGGTACCAGTGAACAACTCTCCACTAACCTCTGAGTCTTAGATACAAAGAAAATGACACCACACATGCGCCTGGAAGGAAAGAATAGTGAATACTGTTCCTACTAGTCCAGCTATGGGCAAACTACGGCCCGCCGGATCCGGCCCGTTTGAAATGAATAAAACTAAAAGAAAAAAAAAAAAAGACCGTTCCCTTTTATGTAATGATGTTTACTTTGAATTTATATTAGTTCACACAAACACTCCATCCATGCTTTTGTTCCGGCCCTCCGGTCCAGTTTAAGAACCCATTGTGGTCCTCGAGTCAAAAAGTTTGCCCACCCGTTAACTAGTCAGTACTGACGTGGTTCTCCTAGGAGTGCTGGAGATTGCAGGAGCTCCTGTGGCAAACCACTCCAAGTTAAACAACAGAAATACTGTAGTGGCCATGATAAAGGGAAATCTGAAACTGGTAAATGCCTTGAATTTTTTAAAAAGCTGGTGATTTCATGATAAAGGTAAAATCCATTTTTTAAAAAAGAGCAGTATTTGACCCAGTGATCCCACTTCTAGAAATACATCGTTAAGAATCCCAAAACACCAACCAGAAAGAATATATGCACCCTATGTTTATAGCAGCACAATGTATAATAGCTAAGATCTGGAAACAGCTCAAGTGCCCATCAGTAGATGAATGGATAAAAAAAGATGTGGTACGTTTACACAATGGAATAGTATATAGCAATAAAAAAAGAAGGATCTCTTACCCTTTCAGAGAGCCTGGGGGGACCTGAAAGTATTATGCTAAGTGAAGTAAACCAGTTGGAGAAAGACAAGTATCACATTATATCACTTATATGTGAAATATAATGAATAAAATAAACTGACAAAATAGATCCAGAGACATAGAAGCATGGGACATACTGAGGAATCTCAGAGGGGAAGGGGTGGGGGGGCAAAAGAGATTAACCAAAGAG